GTCGCACACAGTCCCAGATGACGCGTGTGGTCAGGTTATATGAGCATCCGCAGGGGGTGCCACACAATGGCTGCAGGAAACTTCTGTGAGAATGTGATTCTAGTCACGTCTTTGGTGCCTCTTTCCAAAAGCGACCAGCGGTTTTCGGTAGTGCGGATGGCAGGGTGTGTCGCTCAAGGTGGGTGTCATGCATGCGGGCATTGGGTAGGGGGTTCCTTCTGGGACTCGAACCTATAACATCCGGGTTATGGGCCCATGGGCTTCCCCAGCTTCATCACCCTGGACAGACTGGCCTTATGTGAGCAGTTTAGGGTCTTGGAAGTTATTGTTTTGGGGGGAAGCAGATGGCTTTGAGGGGCGCGGAGGGGGCCTGTGGCTGGGGCTGTGAGATGGAGAGAGGGAGATGATGGTCCAGGCAATCTTCCTCATCACCACTGCACATCCCATTATGTAACATCTCTCCGGTTCTGTAGTTTTATTGCCGCATTGTGTGCCTTTCAGCGATTCCTGGCACGGTGTGTGTGTGTGTGTGTGTGTGTGCGTGTGTGTGTGCGCGCGCGAAACAGCGAGAGCGGATATTGCTCTGTGAGTGTAGGTGGCACAGAGCCAGTGTTCAGTAATCACATCATCTCCTTTTATTAAATCTCCCTGTACTGCTTCTGTGTTATTAAAATCTCCCAGCATTCCTTTCTCGACACACATTCACACACACGCATGCACACACACACACACACACACGCACACGCAAACACACACATGCCTGCAGTAGGTAACTTCCCCCCATCTGAAGCACAGACACCCCCAGGCTCAGTTTGAGCCCATCGTCCCAGTACTCATGGGCTCACATGTCACACTTAGAACAGAGCCACCTGGGGGGGGGGGGGTGATCAGACAGCCCCGTTTAGTGGAGAATGTGAGCAGCAAAACCTGTCAGTGTGTAAAGAGCCCAGCCAGCCCAGCCATCTGTATTCGTATCTCCTCACACGGAGGCGGCCTGCTGCCTGTCTGCGACCAGCGGAGAGATTATAATCGATTTAAGAAAGAAAAAAAAATACCCCAATGATCTACTTCTCTCTATCAACCCCCCCCCGACCCCCACAACGGCCTGTCACTCTGTGCTTCAGTCTCATAGCTCTCCTTCTGCTTACATACTGAATTGATTCTTTCCACAACCACCCCCCCCAAAATCAACAAAGTTAATCTTATCTATAGACACACACCAGTACAACATTGGTTCCATTGCGGGTGTTGAAACCCTACATCTGGTCTTAGAGAAAAGCAAAGTTCCCTCATAAAGCGGGTCAGGCTTGTCCACACCTGCAGCCCCCTCGGGTGGTCGGCGTGCAGTGGGTACAGGTGTGGCTCACGGCGGGGGTGCGCTGTCACATGGCATGTGGGGGGCGCCCCGGCTGACTGGCAGACGGGCTGGGACGGAGCAGCTGCATTCTGGTCCGGACCGTCTCACGGCCCGAGCTAAGAGGGTTTAGTGAGGCGACCTGGCTCCGTCCCCCCTCAGCCGGATTTGGGGAGCGACACCTTCTTCACTCGCGGTCGGGGTCTTCCACACCCCTCCCTCTGCCATTCCCTCTTTCCCAGTCTCCTCCTCCCGCTCTCCCCATCCCATCCTGTGTCCTACTGAGCGTTTTTAACGTCTGTCATATTGTTATATGCGTTTTGTCGTAGATGGTTTGTATGGCAAGCTGCCGTTGCCTTGTGTGTGAGAATGTGCCACAGTGTGTGTGTGTGTGTATGTGTGTGTGTGTGTGTGTGTGTGTGTGTGTGTGT